TACCTGGCTATGGTAGACACCATCTTCATCACCTTGTTGGGCGCTGCATCTGGAAGGCCCCAGTTGGGGTAGTGCTGCACCAATGAAGCTCGAGGCAGAGTCAGGCATGGCGGACCAGTCAGCAGCGGCATAGCTGCTTTGGGTTGTCCTTTGGACATCAGCGCAGCACCATAGCTGCTCTGGGTTGTCCTTTGGACGTCAGGGCAAGGCCCTCCTTAGTCCGCCATAGCCTGTGCATGAGAGAGAAGGCTGAATGAGGGAAGCCATAGCTATGGTGGACTGGTTGTTGTTGTTGTTGTTGTTGAGTTGAGTCAGCAGTAAGAGGGAACTTCGGATATTGATTCTGGTTCATCCATTCATTGTTATTATTATTATTGAGAGAAGAATAAGATTGGTGAAGTGAAGGAGGAGGAGGAAGGTGGAGAGAGAAGGGGGAATTGTCATTGGTCTTGCTGGTGTACATCTTCTTCTTCTTCTTCTTCTTCTTCTTCTTTCTCTCTCCTCTGGTCTTTATCTCTTTGCAAGTGCGTTCATTTCTTTCGCAATTGGGGGGCACTGTGAATTTGCACTTGGGAAATGACCAGGATCGTAACAAACGTATAATATTGTATAATAAACTAGGCTACCAGAGTGGCCCGGGTCCACTTGCCCGGCCGGGCAAGAAGAAATTAAAAAATAAAAAGATAAAAAATGTTTTTTTATTTAATTTTTTATTTTAAATTTGGTAAAGAATTCTGATGTGACCCTGAGGCAAAAGTTGTTCAGTTTATTTTTCTGCATAACATAGTTTTTTTTTCGGGGGGCCCGGCTGGTAGCCTAGATAATAAATTATTGATAATTGAACAAATGGGTATGTATAATAAATTATCATAGAGATAGACCACGTCCGGACCCCAAAAAAAACAAAAATGGGCCTGGAAAACCCCCAAAACAATGTTGGGGGAGGCTCCTTAGTGGGGCAGGGTCCTAGACCTTTTTTTTTTTCCCTCGAAATTTGGCACATCCGGACCTTCCGGGCCGGATGACGGCAGTCCGGACTGAATCCGGACCTTGTGGATGGCGGTCCAGACGGCCGGATCGTAGCCATGCATCGGATCGTAGCCATGCTTTATTCACGCATAAGATTACCCCGTTGTATGCCTCAGTGTTCATAAGGTGTGGCCTTTTGAGTTTGATGGGGATGAACTGACCTGGATTCTTAGAAAAGGTTCAAGAGCAAAGCTCTGCAGGAGCCATGCGGTTTTCTTTTGTACATAGCGACAGATTTGTCCATCATCAAGTGAGCTTAGCAGATTAAGAGTGAACCACAAGAGCATACGGCCTCTTTGCAGGATGTAACCAAACACAAAACGTCCTCCATGATCCAATAATTAGAACCGCATATTTTGTATAAGACTTACCAATAGTACTCAGTGCTGAAGAGCACAATGTGACATACAGGATCTGGTTGAAGATGTCCATTGAGTATCCTTTGAAAAGCTTATCTTGGAATGTACTTGTAAATCCGTCGAAGCTGCAGATAAAGACACACAAGAGCAATGCCAATTGGCCTAAAGAGAGCAGAAAACGGCAAGACTCCAGAAGCATACAGTATTACAGTTTGCTTTTCTCAAAAGAAAGGGGGGTTACCCATCAAAGCACACCAAGTGGGCTTCACTCGCCGCTTCCACATTTAATACTGCAGGCCATTGCCATCTGCACGTGGACGTTCTTTGTTCCGCTCAACATTGTAAAAGCAAGACAGATTTCAAGATGCAGCCACTCCTTGGTTGGTCTCCCCCCACTGCCACTCTACGGGGTCGAGTGGCAGCTCAGCCAGCGGGACCATATTGGGCAGAAGGCCCTCCACCCCTTCCCTTTGCAAGGAACCTGACTGTTCACAGCTTGCTCGAGTGCAACAAACCGCATGCATACATGTCATCACACATACAAAGTGGCCTCACAAAACCAGGTTGAGATCAGATAAGAACCAAGTAGCACAGCTTATATTATCAATGTCACTTTATACAAAGGGTATCATGAGTTCCAGAGTTCATCGCCAACAAGAGGTAAGTCTCTCTCTCGACATTCAACAGTGTGGAACCTCAGCCAGCGTTCTCCTTCAGATCACAAGTGTGGCGCCAACAGGTAAGTGTCCACCACATCCATACTCACTCCCTGTCTTCTCTCTCTTGCTCTCTTCTCTCTCAATAACCTTGTCTTGGTTCTCTTCCCTTCATTATGCATGCACACTCTCACCTACGAAGATCTACTTTGAATGTCACTCACTGCTATCCCTCTCTCGCCCAGAGCCCAATTCGTGAAAGCAGGTCAAAAGACATGTTCTCTGGGTCAGGTTCCACACTGTTGAATGTCGAGAGAGAGACTTACCTCTTGTTGGCGCTGAACTCTGGAACTCATGATACCCTTTGTATTAAGTGACATCGATAATATAAGCTGCGCTACTTGGTTCTTATCTCATCTCAACCTGGTTTTGTGAGGCCACTTTGTACGTGTGATGACATGTATGCATGCGGTTTGTTGCACTCGAGCAAGCTGTGAACAGTCAGGTTCCTTGCAATTCTGGTATCGGAGCAGATACTTGTTGTACTTGCTGTGCTGGCATGAGTAAGGCCGGCGAGAAGGAGAAGAGAACGCTGGCTTGTTGATGATGCTGGCGATGGTGGAAGAAGAGGTGGATAGGGATATGAGAGAGGAGTAGGCCGAAGAGGAAGGGGCAGAAGTGATACTTACCTGAAGCGTGGAGTGCGGAGTGATGAGGAGTCTTCATCGACGATCGCTGCAAAAGAGAGAAGCACCCTTTACCCCTTACCTGGCGGCATGTGTGTGTGCATCTCTACTCCTCATCCTCTCTGGGGTTCGCTGCTGCCGCTGTCAAATCACCTTCGTCCAGGACTCCAGTATGATACACACTGGCTTTGCGTACCCAGGTAAAAGGCTGCTTGCTCCCAGTCAGAGCACCCCTTTTGCCCAGAGCAAACCGCTCAGCTAGCACCTCCTCTGGCCGCACCAGGTGCACCCGCCCCACTTGGTTTGCTTCCTCCGGCAGCCCCATGCAGGTAACATTTTTTGGCCAAACAGAAGGGTAAAACCAGCATACTGATCACCCATTTTCAAGAGCTTTCTTTAGACCTTTCTATTTTGAAAGTTTACTGCTTAGAAGTCAAAAAATATATATACTTTGACACATATCTATCAATTAAAAGAGCACACTCTGCACAATAAATGGTAAAATTTACAGAAGACAAACATGAAGAGCACACTGCAACCTTTCTTGTGATCATTTCTTCTTATAACTCCCCCTTAACTGTGCCTCTCAGGTACAAAAGGCTCGCCACATTGAAAAGGTGCCTGTTTGGGCCAGACAAAAGTCCAAAAGGGACATCCCATATCAGACAAAACCTGGAACAGACAAAAATACTCTGAATCTAAGAACACTCCTCAGAAAGAGATAAATCAAAGTTATAAAACACAAAAACACATTCCCACACCTACACCCACCTAACCGGCCCCAACGATGTAAAAATAAGGTGGCGGATCTGGAACTGCCAACAAATGATTTTCCTTACCTGTCCAACATTCGTTGTAGCGTAGGCATAGATAATGCAGAAGGATGGTTTGAGTAACAAGGCTTTCGGGGGTTTGAGGGAGGGGACGATACATGCGGCCTGAGAGAATGTTACGAGCGCCCCCCCTTGGGATCCGTCTGCTGTCTGACTGGGTGCTGCTAGTAAGCAGAAGCACCCCTTGAGGGAAGGATAGGGCCTGGAGGGTGGGTCCACTCATAGCAGCCCCCCCTTTGTTAGGCGTCTAGTGCCACAAGGGAAAGGCTGTTCCTTGCTCTCTCTTTACCACTTGTGCCTCCTTGCTTGCCGGTAATAAGCAACCGGACTGATGCCACCCAGAATAGAAGGGCCTTTGTGTTAAGAAAAAAAAAAAGGAACTGCCAACAAATGTGGCCCAGGCGGCCCACTGTGGTCTGAAACGGTATTCACCTGTTAGCAGTAGCGGATGCAGGTCCCAGGGCTTGATCCCTAGTCCTCACTTTACCTGTGTACAGTATCAGTGTCGACCCCGACTGTTTGAACCCGTGACCTGTGTTTTGAGAGTTGGTATTGTCTGTCGTAGGTCTGTGTAATGGTAGGGGTTCGATCTGTAGATCTGTCAAGTAGGAGTCAAAGCCCTGTAGAGGTCGTAGCTGTAGGAATCCTGAAAGGTCAAGGTTGTAGCTGCAACAGTCCTGAAAGGTCAAGGTCGTAGCTGCTACAGTACTTGAAAGGCCAAGTCCACAGACTTCCGGAAGGTCCGGAAGTGGCCTTTCGAAGCTGCCTCACGTTTTAGTCAGAGGCAAGTGGGCAAGTGGAGCCCAGCTGCATTACGTCGGCAGTGCGACTGCATTGAGTTGGCAGTGCAAACCCATGCAGTCAGCGGTACTGGTCCAGCAGTCCCAGTCCAGTCAAGCAAGTACCATGAGGGACTGTGTGCACCATAGGCCTGGTGGAGAGGGGCAGACCAACGAGTTACAGAAGTATAAATCAAGAGGCAGCGCCCAGCCATGGATGGATTCCTGCGTAAGCCATGCGGAAGCGCTGCTACAGCAACTTGTGCAAGGTGGTCTGCAGTAGGCCCGAAGACGAAGTGGGCGAGAACGAAGCTTAGCCATAGCGATAGGGTAGGCAGCGGCCATAGCCGCCATAGCTGATAGGAGAGAGAATTGCGTGTGCGAGTGTACAGTGGGTTGCGTGCGGGATATCCAGGGTGATCCAGAGTTGAAGTGTGAGCAAACAGTGGTGTTGGACACAGTGACGAGAGTTGGGATGTATAGGTGCTGGTGCACCATAGCCTGTTGAAGCGAGTTTGCATCCGAACTGTGTTCTTGGTTTCCATATCTCTGAGCTTTGAGTTGGGCGCTATGCGCCAGTGTGAATCACCAACTGTTTGTATGCATGCGAAGCAAAGAAGAAAGTGAGTCTGATTGCAGGTCCAAGGCCAGGCCCTGAACTCCGGTGCAGGAGCTGCGCATGCCACAGTGAGGCTGCGTGTCGACTCATGGAGAACATTGATAAGTTTATTACTGGGTGTTAGCCTCATCAACAAAAAAAAGGGGCTTTGCCAACTACTCCTGCGAGTAGGCATGTGGCCATGGGGTTGTTGATTCATCGGCTCTAAGACAGATTCTCAGGAATCTGAGTGGTTCAAGAGGGTCTACGC